GGATTGGCGTGTTCCTTCCATGTGAACTTTGTTGCTTCCCTGCTAGATAACCACTTGTTTAACTTCAAGCCGTTAAGACCCCAGATGCTGTATCTTGTAATAACTGGGCACCATTAGTTTTCTTCACCACATTCGCTTATGCACCCATTTTGTCCTCAGCAATCATGTCAGGAAGGTGAGCATTACAGAATTTCAGGTTCTTAGAACAAATGTTCTTGCATTGAGGGAGGACTTGAGTAGAGGCCCAATGTCTGTCTGCTACTGAGGTAGATAGTTTATTGTGCCAACCAGGCCAATAAACACGTGTGGGATTAATTGAAGGGCAGAGAGATAACTGGCTCAATGAGCCTTGCCTCTTTTGTCTCTTGCTCTTTGATCATTAGACCAGTGTGCAGCTGCTTTGCTTATTCTTTGCCTCAATTTGCAAGCTACACTACCTGTGGGACATCTAACCCGTGGACTGTGTCACTGTAATTTGAGGTTCTTTCAAGACCTGCTTCACCACACCATTGGAATTTATATCTCTTGAGCTGTGGACTGTCGGACCTTGTCATCTGGCTGAATGTTAGTGACCTGCCTTGCTCCCGGTGCCCGGATAGCCTGAATTGTTCTACAGATGACTACCCAGCGGCCCTCAAGACTTGAAGGACTGCCAGTGTCTCACAACTGTCTCACAGGCGTGAGTTGCACTGAGCTATTTGTACTGCTTTATAATTTAATTATCTGTTGATTTCTTATGTCATATATCTGTCTATCTGTATAAATACATATAAAATTATCAGAATTCTGGTTTTGTTTCTCTAGAGAACCCTGTATAACACATTTTGTACCAGGAGTGGGGTACTGGAGAAACAAATCATAAGATAGAGAGTAGATGTTTGTTTGAGCTCTCCCTTATGGTAGCTTTTCTTTGTCTAGCCAGAGGTTAGATAAAGCCACACTTTACTCAGTTGTTTTCTGGGGAAAATGTGGGAAGGAGAAAAATAGAAAAGTTGTAAGCCCACTTGCTTTCAGCCATTAAAATATGATCTTTAGATGGGTTTAGGCCATGCCTGCAAAGAAAGCTATGCAAAGAAATATACGTCCCACCCAGTGCTTTGGAGTACTCAGGAGCCAGTAGTCTTTGTCAGAAGCTGGAAAAAACCTGGAACCATGAAGAAAACTCCTCTCTGGGACTGAATGTTAAAGGGAGCCTGTGAGCAGGTTGAAATGCTTGCTAGGTGACCACCTGGATCTACTTGTGGAGTGGAAGTGGGAGAAATGCATCAATAAAGAGAGGGGTTGAGTTTTGGCACTGACACCTGTGGACTTTGTCTATAGGAAAAAAAGGAGAAGACGAGAGCAGGTTGACTGGTCTAAAGTTCATGACCTAGCACAAGGAGGCTAGGCTTGTTGAGCATTGGTGAGAGCCCATGGTCTAAAGGCAAGGTGACCAATGGGCACCCTGAGGAGGCTGAGTGAAGCAGTCCACATTGAGTTGATCAGAACCGGACCAGATGGAGATCTTTGAGCCTGTGAATTGGTGCATATTGTTGCTGACTTCATGGATGGCCTGTCCAGATTTGACTTTGCTTATGGATGCAGACTTCACAAGGTTCCAACTGGAATGAAGACTCTTCATGTCAAAAAATATGATTGTCTTCTCAGAGAACTGGGTTGATGTCAGTGGGCAGTATATAAATTGGATACTCAAAATTGGGGGGATAAAGGCATGAAGTGGTTGATTTACAAACTTTCATAGGTGGGGCAATGTATTCACAGGATTATAAGATTAAGGTGTAGGTGTTACTTAGGTGTAGGTGTTAATTTCAATTTAGGTGTAGGTGTAGTTGTTAATTTCAATCATGAAACTAAAGAATTATTACAAGTGCCAGGTTGGCAAAGGGTGGATTGAGGTAGTTAATTTATTGTGCCAACCTGGCAGATGAACACTTGTGGGGTTAATTGAAGGGCAAAGGGATAAATGGCTCAGTGAGCCTCGCCTTTCTAGTTCTCTGGTCTCTTGCTTTCTGATGGTCAGACCAGGGTGCAGCTGCCTTAGCCAGTTCCCTGCTTCAGCTGGCATGGCTCACTTCCTGCAAGACATCCCCGAGAAGCCGCATGGACCTACCCCAATGCAGCCCTGAGTGCTGGAGCAGCTGTATGGAGACCCCTGCCAACGCTGAGCTGCTTACATGTTCACTGATTTGGCTTTTGTCCTGCAGTCAGCATCATTGTGTCTGTTTTGTGAGATGGAGGAGGACTTTGTGGATTGGTGTTGGACATATGGGTTAATGGATTAATGTTGGACTTGTGGCCTTGGGCTGCACTGGATTGGGATGTTTTCTTGATGTGCACTTAACCTTTATATAAAACTCTCTTTCCCTTATACATGAGTTTCTGTAGATTTGTTTCTCTAAAGTACCCAGACTAACACAACTACCTTAATACTTAACATATAAATATATATACATAAGCCTATATCCTTATATTATATATTAATATATTTACACGTGTACATGCCTATGCTTATACTTCTATAAATGTCTTTTACCTCCTAGTTTTTTCCTGTTTCCTTTACTTTCCCCCTGTCTTGCCATCATGTATACCCAACTTTTACATATATATAAGGTAATTGAAAAAATACTTCAAAGTAATATACTTGCTTTTCAATATTCTGAAGAGGTTTTGTGCAGAAAATTTACCTAATGTGAAGAGTTTTTGATCTCTTGACTGCTGTTTTCATAAGCATTTATGGTGGATACACACAAGACAAAATGCTTGATAACTTCAAACTTTCATTCACTTATGTTACTTATTAAGGATGCTGGTCTTCTTTACATTGAGTTGTAATCGATATTGAAAGCTGCAGTCCTTATCTTCATCAGCGTGTGCTTCAAGTCCTCACATTCAGCAAGCAAGATGGAATCACCTGCATATCTTGGGATGTTAGGAAGACTTCCTCCAATCCTTATGCCACAGTCTTACTCAGCATAGAGATTGAACACGTGTGAGGATCCAAGCCTGATGCACACCTTCCCTGATTTCAAACCATGCAGTATTCTTTCAGCCTGTGCAAGCAACTGCCTTTTGACTCATGATGTACAGGATCTTGCATGAGCACGATGAAGTGTTGTGAAATGCCAAGCTTATCCAGAGTTTGCTATGATCCACACAGTCAGATGCCTTGGCACAGTCAATAAAACACAAGTGAACATCTTTCTGTGTTCTTTGCTTTCAGCCAAGACCCATCTGACATTAGCAACAACATCTCTTGTTTCATATCCTTTTTTGAATCCAGCCTGAACTTCTGGCAGCTGCCTGTCAATGTACTGCTTCCACCGTGATGGGATAATCTTCAGAAAATCATTACTTGCATGTGCTATCAATGTTAATGTTCTACAGCTTGAGCATTGTGTTGGGCAACCTTTCTTTGTAATGAGTATAAAAATGCATATCTTCCAGTCAGTTGGCCAAATAGCTGTCTTCCAAATGTCCTGACATAGATGAGTAAGGGCTTCCAGTACTTCAGCAATTTGTTGAAGCATTTCCATTGGTATTCCATCAATACCTGGAGCCTTGTTGGGGGTTAATGCTTTTAGCGCAGTTTGAACTTCTTTCAGCATCACTGGTTCTTGCTAAAATGCTACTTCCTGAAATGGTGGAAAGTTGAATAATTCTTTTTGTGACAATGATTCTGTGTATTCTTTTAATCTTCTTTTTATGCTTTCTTCATCATTGAATAGTTTGCCCATAGAATTTTTCAATACTGCAACTAAAATCTCGTATCTTGTCTTGAGTTCTTTCAACTGGAGATATGCTGAGCTTGCTCTTCCCTTTTGGTTCTGTAACTCTAGGACTTCGCAAGTTTTTAAAAATAATATTTGGCATTGTCTTCTTGTGCTGCCCTTTGAAGGTTTCTATTTTAATAATTCATCAATCCATGAACAGATTAAAGAATAACTAAAAATTATCACAAATCAACAAATACAATGTCATTATTCGTGCTATTTTAAACTTGGTATGTTATGTGTATGTCTGCTTAGTCCATGCACTAAAGATATATCTTGACAGAATTGAATTATATATCTGCATGAGAAATTTGTCCACCAAAATATTAATTACTGCTGTCAATCCAAATTATAAGCTAATTAGTCTTTAGATCTATGTTACCCTTTACAAAATATCTCCCTATGCCATTATTACTTTGTATTTTCCAGGTATCTAATTCTTATCAATAGTTTTCTTTCCTGCCAAGGCAAAACCTACACACACACAAAAAGAAGGGTTAAAAAAAAAACCCTACACCCTTTGTTTTCAAATATTATTTTTAAAGTAATAATAAGAATTCAAATCCTGTCAGGCTAGATATCTCAATATCTAATTAAAAATACAAAGAATAGAATTAATTGCCACCTCTCTCCCATTTACCAGTGGTCAGTCATTGCAAAGCAGAAATATATCAATATCTGAAGAAGATTCTCCTTACATTTCCCCTGAACTTCTGTACCTTCTCTGAGTAATCCCTTACGAAGATTACATACTATACTTTAAAATTATAAAATTATTTAGTGAAGTAGTAATCAGAAAGATCAAATTTCTCTCATAAAATTGGAAGGATCTTAATTGAAAGGGGTTTTTTGGTATTTTTTTAAAAGTCATGTAAAGAAGAAGTTCTATTTTTCCTCATGCCTATTCAACGAATGGCACATGGAAAGAATGGAGCCTGCTATCATCTTCCCAGCACTGCTCCTGCATCCTCAGAAGGTTTCACATTACTGCCATCACATGTAATGGAATAATGTTTACTCATTGGGTAATCTGACAATTGATGGAAATCCATAAAGATGGTATTCTGAATGAAATAAAAATGTACTGTGAGAAAATGAATTAGGAAGAATATGGGGGAAATGCTATGTAAAAGGATAACTGTCTAATCTAGAACCACTCCTTAAAGATGCATGTGCCCAGTGATCTATCACTCACAGACGTTTGCTGTCCCGAGCCCGCTGTCCACCTACCCGAGTTGTCTTCACTTTATTCCCCGAAGAACAGCTCCAGCCTTTCCGGTCTGGAAGAACTTTACATTCCTCTCCCTCAAGACACGGCTGCATGTGACACCACCATTTCTGTTCCACTATTGAAGCTGCAGGAGTGAGAAACACCACGTCAATGTCGTCTGCATTGCTACTTATCTGGTTGCATGTTGAAGGAGAAACAAAGGCACACATTGTTTTTTCCTCACCACTAGGTTAGACATCCTCTGGTTTTGGACAGAGAGAACACATTTTTACAGGCTTTCTGACTAAAAGTATATTTCGTATGCATTTATCTTCATGAAAACAAATACATATGATGCCATATGAATAAGTATAATATGAATATATATGTATACATATATACCCATTTATATAAATATATAGTAAAATGGACAATTGAATAAATTGCAGTCAATATTTTGGAAACAATATAATATTTCCAACAAGTAGGAAGAACATTAGAAGGATATATATACCCATATGTATATATATATATATCCACATATATGTGTACCTATACATATGTGTATGTTTTTATATCATGGTCAATAATCATCACCACATGATGATATAAGCAGTAACAGATTATTGTTTGTGGTATCATTAATTAAATAGCACTATGTAATAATTATGCCCTCTTATAATTAGGTAAGATGTCAATTAAAGTACTAATAGCTTATTCATCTTCAGCAAAATCAATATTTTACATACATTTTATCTATAACTAAACAATCTCTCATTTATATGGTACTTATTTTCTTCATTCTTAAAAATTATCCATGGTTTTAAAAAGCTATACTATTATCATCTACTTTCATCTTTCCTTTCCCAATTAATTTGTGTCTGGCCCTCAGGAAATCAGTATTTCATGGTTTCAATATGAGAAACACCTTTTTTTTTACCCTCCGCCCCTCCCCCTGAGAAACACATTGACTTAATTCTTGGAGCATCATCTTAATGCATTTGTAGAAAAACTGCATGATTTTGGACCCCTTTCTCACAAAATTCCCCTAAGCTTGCAAATCACCTCATTTCAATCGCTTGAACTCTTACTGGGTCCTCTAGGATTAACCGCTGATGACATTGTTGGAGTGGGGTTCCCATTCTACACAGTGCCTGCCCACTAGACCAGCATGATAAGCAAAGAAAGAAGTCGCACCATCCACACAAGACGGAGCAGCTCGGGTGGTGCCGGCCACCTGCCCAGGGAAGCAGGAGCACTTGACCGTTTGTGACCGCTCCTCTATCTTGTTCTTATTGCAGCATCTGTGGAGTGCCACCACCTCGCAAGTTCCCGTTTTAACATGGTGAGCTGCACAGACGAAACAAAAGACAACAGTGAGGTAGCTTTGGACATCTCCCCTCCTCTTTTTAATTACAAGTCCATTAAATACAGCTCTGTAAGGGATCCACCATGCATGAAACTAGAAATACAACGATGTTAACTCCATAATGCAGATTTGATTTCTTTTCTAAATGTGGTTAGATCATCTCTGTCCGAAAATGCTTGGTGAAGCAGGAACGATTAGCGACTCGATTAGGTGGCGCTCTGAAAAAGGGCTGAAATATAGAAGCAATATGAATATAAGGAACAATCCAAACCATAGTTAGTTGCGCATGACTTGTTTTTCCCCACATTTTGTTCAACACGTTAATCAATATACGGAAAGGTCCTTTGGCCAAGGTTCCTGCCAGAAGACGTGGCATGTCCCCATTTTCAAAGCAGGGGTGTTGGAGACAGCAGACCATAGACAGAGAAAACAACAGCTGTGAAAACCAAATGCATCAAGGAAGCAGGCGCTGTATGGAGAAAGCGGAGCTTGGAGAAACCCTGTCTTGAGGGGAGCCTGCAGACACTGACGGGAGCAGGACAGACACTGGGACATTGTAAACGAACTCGTGACAACTACAGAGCCTCTCCTTCAGTTGTCTTTCACATCACAAACTTGCTCCTCCTAAAAATCATAGTTTGACAAGTTTAAGAGCAAGTAACCTAAATGGTGATTGTAGCACTAACCCAATGTGTTAGTCTGGGTACTTTAGAGAAACAAATCCACAGAAACACATATGTGTAAGAGATAGTTTTCTATATAGGTTAAGTGCATATCAAGAAAACATCGCAACCCAGTGCTGCCCAAGCCCATATTTATACAAGGGGACTTCAAAATTGTTACCTTACCTGTCTTGAATTATACTAAGGGACTTCAAAATTTTTGTGAAAAACTCCCCTTATCTTCTTACTCCACTTTTCCACTCACTTTTTAAAGCCCTCATATAAAAGGGAGCCCTGGTGGCACAGTGTTTATGCATTGGGCTGCTAACCACAATGCCAGCAGTCAGAAACACCAGCCACTCCATGGGAGAAAGACAAAGATTTCTACTTCCGCGAAACATTAGGCCCATAAATCCACTGGGTATGTTCTACCCTGTTCTATAGGGTCTGAATGAGTCAGAATCCATCCAATGGCAGTGAGTGAAAGGAGTGAGTGTGTAATACAAAGTGTGTAAGGAATTACTCCACAATGAAATACTTAAAAAATTGGTAAAGTTTGGTATGTCAGGACTATGGTATAAATCCACCTAAGTCTGGCTGGTCAACAACAACTCCATGAAAGAAAAGTGAGGCTTTGTACTCCCAAAAAGCATTTTCTTGCAGAAAATAAATTTTGTTGTTAGTTGTCACCACTTTGGTTGCAACCCTGCACAATGGAACCAAACACTGCCAAGTCCTGTGCCATCCTAAGAACTGATTCTATACCTGAGCCCATTGTTGCAGCCATGGTGCCAATCCATCTTTCTGGGGCCTCCTCTTCTCCACTTCCCCTCCACTTTCATACGCATGATATCTTTCTCCAGGGATTCATAGCTCTTGGCAACATGTTCAAAGAATTTCTATGAATAGAAAAGCCAAAAAACACCAAACTCACTGCTATTGACTCTATGCCCACTCATAGTAACCCTATAGGGGAGGGTAGAATTTCACCTGTGAGTTTCCAAGGCTCTAAATCTTTATAGGAGTAGAAAGCCCCATTTTTATTCCACAGAGTAGTTAATGGTTTCAAACTACTTCCCTTGGGGTTAGCATTCCCAACACGTGGGGAATAGAAAATGTTTAAAGTGATGGGCATGGAGCACAGTGGAGAGAAGGATAAGATTGCAGCTGCACTGAGTAATCAGAGAAGCATGTCTCCCTTCAAACCTTCAGAGAACAAGGAAGAGCATGCAGTAAAAGCCCGATAGACCTAATTTTCCTGCCATGTTCTTTCTTTTCATTGCTTAAGAATAAAACGCAGACACACAGATTGAAGTTCCTAGTGGCAAGTGGAATATCGGTCATCTTTTGTATTAAAATAGAAGCTGTCAAGTTGCCCCCACCCTTTTAGGGTAGGAGAAAGACAGGGAGATGACATCATCTTTTTAAACAGAAAGATTAATAGATAATTTTGTGCTTAAAGATTTTGAAGGCTCCCTAACAAAACCAAATCTATGCCAACAAGGCCATTACGACTCATAGTGACATTCTACGACAAAGCTTACAGTTCTTGAATCTGTATGGAAACACAATGCCACACCTTTTTCCCATCGAGTGGCTGGTGGGTTGGAACTACCAACCTTTGGGCTGGTCATCTACTGCATTCATCCCTGTTCCACCAGGGTTTCTTGTTGAAGACATGGGTAGAAGTAATACCAAATTCATCATTTTTGTACACATGCCAGGCAAAGGTACAAAGTAAAGTAAGATACTCTGAAAGAGGAAGACGAACCTTGGAACAGAATTTAATATTTAATTCACATAGACGAGACTATATATATATATATATATATAGTTTTCTTATTTGTCTACTGTTGACCATTATTTCCTATTGTAAGCAAATTATTGTTGAAAAGGACTAATTTTTCATGTAAGCTGCTCAGTATGGGGTATGTGTTTAATAATAGGTAAACAAGCAATTTAAGAAGGTAAAACTAATTCCTGTGGTTTCCCTTTAAAAGGTTAATGAGACTGTAGGAAATTCAAGCAGTTACTAAAATTCTCTACACAAATTCAGACAGAGCTCATGATAAAATAACCTAATTAAATATTACAGCTTTCCAGATTAAAATAATAGGCTTCACAGAAAATCAGTTGGCACCATACTAAAATGATGCAAGACCCCCTGGAGAAGCTTTAAATGAAAAAGAACGAGCAAACAAAATTTTTCATGTCACAATTTCCAACTCATGAAAAAAAAAAGATTTTTTTTTTGAACATGAATGTGATGCATAAATGCAAAGAATTGCCTCCTACATTTTTATGCAATGACTCCAGAGATGTGTTGTTGTTTTGTTGTTAGGTACCATCAGAGACATATAACAAAAACAAAACTCACCACAATGGAGTCAATGGTGACTCATAGGGACCCTGTATGACAGCACAGAACTGTCATTGTGGGTTTCCAAGACTGCCAACGGCAGTAGAAAGCCTTGTCTTTCTCCTGTGATTGGATGGTGGTTTTGAACTGCTGACCTTGCAGTTAGCAAACCAGTTTCTAACCACTATGCCCCAGAGTGCCTATCACATAACACAGGGATAACTCATCTTATTGCTCTAATTGTGGTCTTCAAGGTTTTGACCCTTATGTCTCCGGACAATAGGAATGCTGCCTCCGCTGTGCTTTGGAAACGTGGTCTCTTACGCAGTATCTGAAAACTCTTAGCGCTTTTGAAAAGCTTCTGTTGTTAAGGGTCACCAGGTTGGTTCTGATTGACACTGACCCACTGCACAACAGGATGAAACACTGTCTGGTCGTGTTCCATTTTCACAGCTGTTGTTAGGCTTGAGCCCATTTTTATAGCCATGTTTCTAACCTACCTCATGAAGAGTCTCCCTCTTTTTCACTGGCACTTGATTTTACCAAGAAAGACGTCCTCTCCAGGGACTGGTCTCTCTCGATAACGTATCAAGTTGTCAAGTGCATGACTACATGTGTGAGACTGTCTCACCACTCTCACTTTTGAGTAGAATTCTGGCTGTACTTCTTCCGTGAGAGACTTGTTTTTCTGATGATTCATATTCCTTTCAATACTCTTCATCAGTGCCGTAATTCAAACGCAGCAATTCTTCTTCAGTCTTTTTTTTTTTTTGGTCGTTGTCCAGTAAGGTGAAGAAATGACTATGGCTCAAGTCAAGCACCTGGTTGTCCTCAACATGACACCCTAGCATTCAGCACTTTGAAGAGTCTTGTGCAGCAGATGTGCTCAGTGAATGCGTCATGTGATTTCTGGATTACAGCTTCCATTTGCCTTGTTTGTGGATCCAAGCAAGATCAAATCCTTGACAACTTTCATTCCATCTTTTCTCCCTTTATCGTGATGGTATCTAGTGGTCCTGTTGCGAGGACATGGGTTTTATTTACAGTAAGTTGCAATCCATACTGAAGGCTATTTGTTACTAATTTGCAGGTGCTTCAAGTCCTCCTCACATTTAGCAAGCCAGGTTTTGTTATCTGCATAGCACAGGTAAATAATAAGCCTTCCTCTCATCTTGATTCTCTGTTCTTCATATAGCCCATCTTCTATATGTGACTTCTATGTCCTTTCACAAAGCCCCATCATGCATTTTACCAAAACAACTTTGTTTACAACTGCTTTGTTGCATGTTAAGAGAAATTTCCTCATGAAAATATTTGGAAAACCTAGATTTAATGGCTTTTGATTTTTATGTATGCCTATATTAAATATATACACATACATATGATCAATATAATTCAATACATATAATATGGTCTAATCCATTTCTTATCAAATACCTTTAAATCAGTTATCAAATATACCTTAACCTCACTTATTGAATATCCCACTCTCTAATTTTTATATTTAGGAAAGTAAAAATAAAAATATATGATCTGACTAGTTTGTGCATGAATGATGTACACATGCCTGAGGTGTGAGGTTAGAGTAATGTTGAATGTGATGGTTAATGCTATGGCTCAATTTGATTGGGCCATGATTCTCAATACTTTGGCAGAGATGTAATGATGTAATTTGGGAGATATGTCATATTAATCCTGACAGTTATTAAATGATGAGGTCATCCTCCATTTTGTGACTGATGTGGCTTTCATCCTTTGTCACATATGCTGGCTTTCATGCTACTCACTGATCTTTGTAATCTAACCACGTGAATAAGCGAAGGAGAATGCACATGGGCCAGGGATAAATGGGTTTCTAGTAGAATAATGTTTATACAAATCATCCACCTTTAGTAGTGATTTATAGCTTTATTTTAATATAAGCACAAAAGTATATATATCATATTTCAATAAAACCAAT